CTGGACAGTTCCTAGACACTCCCTAGACACTTCCTAGGCGTGGATCCCGTCTGACAAGGACCCAGACGAGTGGGCTAAGGAGAACCTCTCGGCGCCGCCGCCGCCGCCCACCGCCGGGGAGGGCGGGGGCGGCGGGCCAGGAGGCGGCGTGGGCGGAGGTGGTGGAGGCGACCTTGGCGGCGGAGCGGCCGCGCCGGGCGGGCCTGCGCCGGGCGGGGCGCCGCAGACACCGCTCGCGGGCGGTGTCGCCGTGCCGACCGGCTCTGCGCGCTTCTCGGCGCGGAGCTCGAACCGGCGCGCGGCGCGCTCGCGCTACGTCGACACCTTCAACGCGGGGGGCGCGGCGCCAGAGCCGTCCGATAGCGACCGCATGCCGCCGCCGCCGGCGCGGCCGGCCTTCAAGGTCTTCACGCCGGGTGCGGGCGGCGGCGGCGGCGGCGGCGGCGGCGGCGGCGGCGATGCGCCCAAGTATTTCACGCCGACGATGGCGCCGTCGGGCGGGGCGCCGGAGCAGCCAGCCGAGCAGTGAGCCGCGGCAGTGTGCGCGGAGCGGCCGAGGGCGTGTCTCGGGTCGCCGGTCGCCGGGGTGGGGTCGCTGCGCGGAGATGATTGGCTCCTCGCAGGACCTTCGTGGGTAGTGGGGTAGGAGGCGCGGGGCCGAGACGATGTGGCACTAGCGTGTTTCTTTCTTTGCTGCTATGCTTCCCTATATCCAATATCGGATCGGAGGGCGGCCCCACAGGCACTAGCCTCCCCGCAGGCTGCGCACATTGAGGATTTTGGCAAAGGGAGGCACGTGGCGCATTTTGAAGAAATTTATTCAACCTTGTGTCTAGTAAACATGCACGAGGTGCTGCAATGAACATCCCCCCAAGAGCACTGCGGCCATTCCCAATGGCCACGCACCAATGGGGCACGCGCCGCCGGTGAGCGGCGTTCGCACACCACACTACGCGCTGGGCGCGGGTAGTTTGCACACGCACTTGTTCTCCGCCATGCAGCCAAGGTCCGTCTTACAGTACGAGCCCTCGCCGAAGGCCAGCTTGCACTCGCTGTCAGTGCGGCAGCTGCCGCTGGACGAGTCTCCGGCCAGCTGGTACCAGCCGATGTCTGCGTCAGGCATCGCCGGCCCGCCGCCAGCATCCACCTCAAACTTCTGCGACGCGCTGAGGATGGGCTGGCCCTGGTACTTGGGTCGCCCCCCCTTGGGGATGTGAGAGTAGCCCATTGGACATGTGGCCTGGCCGATGGAGTCGCCGTGCTCGGTCTGGGTCACCCCGTTGTTGAGGATGAGGCGGAACTGATTCGCGTACTGGTAGACCGCCTGGCGGACGCGATTGACGTAGCCGAGCGGCATGTGCTCCGCGATGGTGCGGTACGGCTGGAAGACGGTATTATCGCAAAAGGTGTTGTAGTCGGGCACGGCCTGGAGCGGGAAGCTCAGCTCGAACACGTTGATCGACTCGGTGAACCAGCGCTTCGTGGGGTTTTCGATGTCCTCCATGCACGCGTCATCCTGCAGCTGGATGTAGCCGCACATCTTGAACTCCTTTGCGCCCTTCGCCTCGAGCTTCTCGATCGTCTCGCGCAGGTTGGTGAGCTGGTAGTTGGGGTCCTCCCACGCGGCTGGGATCCTCCCACTCGCGATATCAGATTGTGGATCCGGGTACACGTTCTGCACAAGCTTCTTCTCCGTCAGCTCGCCCGGGCAGGCCGCCCAGTGCAGCTTCATGGCGCCGGGGCCGAGCCGCAGGGCCGACGCCGAGCCGTAGACGTACTCGAGCGGGTTCTGGTACGTGTCGGTCAGCTCGTCGAGGCGTGGGTCGGGGCGGCCGCCCAGCACGAAGCCGTTGTAGTAGTTGTCGACGTTGGCCGCGACGAAGATGTTTGCGGGCGGGTTCTTGGCGGAGTCACAAGAAGCGGCGGTGCAATCAGGCCCGGCGGTGCTGAACGCACCGATGTGGTCTGTTGCTACTGAGTTCTTGCCGGTGCCGATTGCGACGTGTAGCAGGTCGATGTGCCCCTCCTCTTGCGCCGCGGTAAAGTCGAAGTCCCCAAACACGTGCTGCGCGTCCTTCGGCTGGTTGTACGCCGGGATGTCGGCGAGCTTGAGCTGGCAGTTGGACGCCTTTCCCTTGGCGCAGGCGGCGTCGTCGCTCTCAAAGTGCTTTGCCGCGTCCATCAACTTGAGCGCAAACCCGCGCACGCGCACGTCGTGCACATCCTTCACGGTAAAATTCTTGTTGCCGCTCAGCCGTACGAGAGTGTCGAAGGTCGCGCCCGATTTGGCCAGCTTTGGGTCGAGCAGGCCGACACGCATGGCGTAGGGGATGAAGCCCGACTCGCTCTCCTGCTTGTTCGCGTCGTACAGCTCCCTGAGCGGACCGAAGGAGAACTTTGCGCCGAGGCAGGTCTGGCCCTTGCCGTGCATGCCCTTCATCACGCGGCTCGTGCGCTGACCCTGGTAGGACGAAAGCTGCGGCTGCATCGCCGCCGGGACCTGGTACTCGTAAGTCAGCGGCGGTGTCAGCGCAGCGCCGGGCTGGAGCGTCTTGGTGCGCGGGTTCCCGATGCTGTTGGTGCTCACGTTCGCGCACGGTGTGCAGTCGAAGTGATCCTCAACAACTTCGCAGCAGTTGAGGATACCTTGATCCGCACGAAAGGTCGCCGGCTTCAGCATGCGCATCGCCATTGTCTTTGCGGTGATCTCAATGGTTGCAAGCTCGCCTGCAACGCCAAAGCCCATCTCCCGACCGAGGTGCTTGGAGCACTGTGCATTCGGGAAGCTGACGCCCTTGGAGTTTGTTGCCGTTTGGGTGCCGAATCTCTTGTCGGCTCCATAAGACATGTAGAGCTGGTGAAGGCGCGGCGGGCACTTTGGGTTGGGTGCCGTCGCGGGGTTTGCGATGAACGGGTTGAACGACGGGGCATCAAGCGTGCAGCCAGCCTCTTGGATCAGCTTCAGATCGTCGTAGAACTTGGCGCAGTCGACCGCAACCGGGAGGCCGAGTACATCATCGAGCGTGATCCCTTTCTTCTTTAGCTCGCGCAGTTCCTCTAGCTTGCGCAGTTCCTTTAGCATGCCCAGTTCCGAGTCCGTTGTCTCTCCGGAGCAGGACGCGTACTCGATGTCGCCTTCCTTGTAGCCGCAGTAGCGGCAGGACTTGATGCCACCGGCGTTGCATCCGACCTTAGCCGGACCGACTGAGGGGCACGACAGCGGATCGTACGTCGTGTACTGGCCAGGGTTCTTTGCCTTCTTCGACAGGCACGGTTCGACGATGTCGTTGAGGAGGGCAGCGCACGTCGTTGTTGCCACCGGCGACGAGCAGACTGTGGCGTGGCCGACGCGGTAGTCGTTGTCAGTGCAGGTGATGATGCTCCGGTCGATGGGCTGCGCGTCTAGCTGCCGGTGGAGCGGCGCGGCCTCGGAGAGCGCGAGGGAGGCGAGGAGGGCTGTCGTGAGCTTCATGTACGCAATCTTCTCGTCCTTTCGTCGGGCGCGCACTTCTCAATGACGTGCGGACTCCTTGTCACGCCTTGGAGTATTCGGTTTCCGTAGTTAAACAAAACTATTTCTCCCCGTAGCCTTTTAAGGCTGGGAATGGATCGAGGCCCTCGCGCTAAATCCAAGAAAAAGAAAGTGATATGCGCCGCCTTTGCCAGGCCGTCCGACCACAACTCAGCGACCCGGATGACAACAGCGACGATGAGCGACAAGCTGCTGGCTCCGCTAGAGAAGTCTCGGGACGCGAGGACCGGCTGCCTGAAGAATGTCTGCCGGCACCTCGGCCTCTTCCTTCTCTCGCTGTCCGTCCTCGTGCCGCTCGGGCTGGTGGCCAGCGCGGCCGTCGCGGGCCGGCCGCTTACCCACCAGGGCGTGACGCAGCCGCTCAGTGGCCTCAACTTTGCACTCATGCGCTTCGCCCGCGACATCTCTCGTGCAAAGGCACGCCGGCGGCGCTTCAACCAGCGATACGCTCTGGTGCCGATGCTGCTGGGCAAGGAGGAGCCGCTGCCGCTGGGCGACCCGGACAGCTGCGTCGGCTGCATCTCGTTGACGCGGGACGAGCTCGCAGAGTTTGACGGCCGGCCACTCCCCGACGGCTCTCCGTCGCCGCTCTACCTGTCTGTCCTCGGCCGGGTGTACGACGTGAGCAGCGGCGGCGCCTTCTACGGGCCGGGCAAGTCGTACCACAAGCTGGTCGGCAAGGACGCCACCAGAGCCTTTTGCACCGGATGCCTCGCGCCCTCGTGCCTCATCTCGTCGACCGCCCACCTCTCCGAGACGCAGAGGCGCGGGGCCAGCCCATATCCCCGCGCGGCCCACCTCTCCCGCCGTCGGCGCTCAGCCTCTCCCTCGCCGCCCTCAGGCGCGAGGCGCAGCGGTGGGTCGAGCTGTACGAGTGGCACGACAAGTACACCCTCGTCGGCCGTCTCCGCGAAGAGGCGGCCGACCCGGCGGAGGAGGAGATGGCGCTCTTCCACGCGCTCGAGGCGGAGCTCAGCGGCAACCACAGGCCGTTCGAGATGTGAGATGCAGTGATGGGTGGGTTGGCAAAACACCGGCGTCATAGATTGGCTGACTCCGCTGTGTGTGCTTGCAATGTGTGCTCGGGCCCCGCCGCCCCGGAGCACGTTTGCTGTCTGTGTGCGCCCCCTCTGCCAGTGCGGGGCCGACGCGTGTGTTTACAAAACTCTGAGAGTGCCTAAAGCCGTATATCTGATCGCGCCGCCGTCTCGCCGCTCCTCTCGCACCTCGGCACCGGGCCGGCACAGGTCTTGAGTCATCATCGCGGCCGTGTTCCCATGGAGTTCCCATGTGTACAACGCTGTGCGGCGGCAGCTCACTACGTCGCGCCGCGCGCGAGCCCGCGAGAGTTTTCGAGAGGACGAGATGCCACAACTAAATTATTCTGAATATGCTCGTGAGAGCCGGAAATGGAACACTCCCATGGATCCGGATCTCTTCGCCCTTCATTTTGATTCAGGATCAGCATTTCTTTTCGGGCATTTCAGGGGCCCGATCTTGGAGTAAGGTTGCTTACTAAACTACACACATCACACATCACACCGGCAGCGGGCCAGCGGCACGAGACTCGAACACACGAAATTCAGCAGTAGACATAGCAGGCAGCCATTTAGCATGGTGTGCGTCAAGAGCGCGTGGTAACAACGAGGCTCCAATCGCCAATGTCACAGCCACACCGCACTGCGCTGCTCCGGAGGGGACCGCTCACTGGTTTTTTACCACCACGGGTTAGCGTAAGGGCACGACGTTTTCGACCCCTTTGGCATCGGCCCTGCCTCAAGTTTCTGCGTCAGGTCCCCGACTTTGAACATGTGATGGGAAAGAGCGCCAGTATACTTGGTAGGTAGCGCCAGGTCGTTCTCCTTTTTGATCGTGTAGGCGTCCACGATGTCCTTCAGCAGCAAGCGGTACTGCTCATGTTGCTTCTTGTTCGCCAGAATCGTTTCACGCCCGCACCCTCCGTGTTTCCCCAGGTTGCAAGGATACTGATTGAGAGGGCGTGACACATTCTTGAGGGTTGTCTTTGAGGCCTCGCTGATGGCGAGGAAGCGATCGTAGTGCGTGTAGGCGTGAACATTTTCCTTATTCACATTGCTAGCGACGTCCTTCTTGTCAGCGATGTACTCCTCCGGCAGCACGCCCCTCGTCATCATGACATGCGCGCTCCCCATGATGCGAGCATCGGCGCCTTCGCCCTCGTACACGATTGCGAGAATGTTGCCCAGCGCGGTGGTCAGGTCCGTCACAGCCAAAAGGTTTTGCCCCGCGTGGTCCCCAAAGAGAGCCTGGCGGTGCCCATCCTTCGGCCACTGAATCTCCGATTTGAGCGCGATCAGGCCCTCCCACAGCGCATAGTAGAAGTCTGAGATGGAGGCGTACGCCCCTGCCTTCAGCCTGAGTTCACAGTCAGCGTCCTTCGGGCAGACCTCAACCTTCGGGCAGTGACCGCAGTCAGCAGCTGACCCAGGTGGCGGCGGCGGGACTCCATACACAAAGCCCGGGTTCGTGTCCACCGTGTCGGGCGTCTCAATCTTGAGCATCGTAGCGATGACGGAGTCGAGCGCGCCAGAGCCCTCGTAGCCGAGCTCCTTGCTACTCAGCTTGACCGGCAGCGTGTCCAAGTATGCGCCGTTGGTGAAGTCTGGCTCTTTGAGCGCGCTCTCGAAGCTCGCGTTGGGAAGGCCGGCGGCGCTCGCCACGTTCAAGATCCAATTCAGGTGGTACATCTCGTCGATGAAAGTGGCGTGGATGAGTTCGTAGGGCGTGAAGTCGTTGGTGATGTTGACACGCGTGTTGGTCGTCGAGTTAAGGTACGCACCCTTGGCTTGAACCTTCACGACAGAGTTGCTATCGTAGCCTGGCTGGCCAACCATGACCTGCTGCGACTCGTGCAGAGAGTACCCTGCCGTTAGGTACAAGGGGATCGTGAAGAACTCGACCGCGATCGCGGCCTCCAAGTACTTGTGCAGGATCGGTAGGGTCCAGTTTGTGCTTCCAAACTGCTCGCACGGTCGCTCGGCGAAAGGAGAGTCGCTGCAGAGGAATTCGTTGTGCAGGCTGCACGTCACGTTCTGCGCGTTGGCAGGATCGGAGACACTTTCCGCGTAGAGCCACCCGGCCGCAGGCTGTAACAGGCGCGCGAGCAGGAAGGCGGCAGCGAGCGGAGGCATTGTGTATCGAGGCGGCGCGCGAGTTGGCGAGGCGAAGTGAGTCCTGACAAGGTCGGTCACAGTCCTTCCGAGGCAATGATGTCACGCTCGCACTTTCAAGCACTTTTAGGGGAATTTCTCACATCCACGGCCTGGCCAGGGATGCTTCACAGATTGACACGCAATGTTGACACGCTCTTCGATTTTTTTTGGGAAGGTCGATAAACAGCCTCGCCAACTCGCGCGCTTGTCCTTCCCATTCCGACAAACCACAGAAGCGGCGAGATGCGGTGTGCGATTGTTATGATGCTCCTCGCTGCTTCGACACACGGCCTGGTTATCTCGAGGTCGCCTCAGCCAGCGACGGCACAGGAACTTCAACGGCGACGGCGGAGAAAGGCGAGACAGCATGCACAAGGCTTGCTTCGCACGGGCCTCTCCGTGTGCTTAGTCACCGCTGTTACATCGCAGGTGTCACGACTTCGCCTCCGGCCTCGGCCGTGCATGCACACGACAGAGTTGCTATCGCCGTGCGCCATCGCCGAACCGACTGTCGCCTCCGCCACCTCGCTACTCTCGCCGCCGGCGGAGGACATCAGCATCGAGTCGCCCCTGGACTGCGACTCGCTCATCGTGGCTGACGAGATCGAGGCATCAGAGCCGCTCGAAACTCCCTCGGCGAGCGCGGCCCTGCGCCCAAGGCCCTTGGCTTCCATAGATCACACTCCTCAAACCGCTTGCTCGCAGATGATTGACGACGACCCCGTCCTCCGCTTCTACCTCTCCGACCCAGAAGGGTTCGACTCCCTCTTCGAGCGCCAGACATCACGGGACGCCGACATGGCGGACGCTGTCGTGGACGCATGGATGGAGGCGGGCCGCTACAAACGCCGGCCCTAGCTCTAGCCGTAGTTCGCCAAATTCGATGTCTACTGATGTCTGTGTGCTAGTAAATGGGTAACGAAATACCAGGCTGCAAGCAAAATGCGCCCGCGAAGATGCCGACACGCTCACACCCGCCCACACACGCTAAAAATCTCTCTCTCACACGCAGCTAGGGCGGGATCCGCGACTCGGAGAGAGAGGGCCCGGGCCAGAGCCCAGAGGTTCACCACACGACCGACGGGCGCGTAGGGACGACACCCCCGTAGATTGAGAATCTCTAGAGGAAAGAAAGAAAGAAAGAAAACAGACAACCCAAGGGAGGGATGGGAGAACGGCACGCCGCCACCACACAGGGATTTTAAGGAGAGAGATATTGCTTGGGGTACGGTAGGGCTAGCCTTGGGCGGTCAGGACCATACCCCCCCCCCCCCCTTTGGGCAGGTGCACCACACCTACCCCGGAAAAAGTTGGAACCCTGGCGCGCTGTGTGCTGGTCTACCTATATCCCTATTCTCACACCCTGTGCAGTGGCACGTCTTGCCACCTAGACCACTCGGATACGAGTTCCTTATGCCAATCCTACAGTCGTCTGAGTTGACACCCGGATCGAGGATGGCTTTGCAGCCTCACCCGCGATCAACAATACCGCAGAGCCGCGCACACGGCTCACCACCACCACCACTTGCTGAACACCGACCTTCGGGTTCAGACGCCGATCCCTTTGCAAACGGGACGCCTCGCGATACTACGGAGGGCCTCGACCAAGCACGGAACGGTCAGACCACCCCGATCCCTACCACACCACGTTGGGAGTCTGTCGCGTAAGCGAGCCCAAGGGCGGCATCGATGTATTCAAGGAGTCATCGCCGCCTGACTCAGTTGGGATGGAGGCCACACCAGCCATTTTGCCTTCTGCCAGGCGGTTGGCGGGCTCCCTTCCGACGGAAGTCATGTTCACCCTGATGGGGTTTGGTTTGCCCGTGGCAGCGAGCAAGCCTACCGCAGTGAGCTCGCGGCAGGACGCGAGCATCACGCAACAACGAGACTTACACGCCCGAACGGGCATTCAACAAACATCAGACGAGGCTTTGGGTGTGCAGGAACCTGCCCAGAACCTCGGTGTATCACCATCGCCCCTGTGCTGGCTGCCGCGAGGCAGCCACCAGCACCAGCGCAGCTGCCGCAGTCAGGCGCACCCGGTGTGCGCAACTATCTCGACATCATTTTGCCGCCAAGCGCCTACGCGACCGAGCTCTCCTGCTCCGCCGCCTGCTTTGCTACGTGTCGAGCCGCCAGTCGAGCCACCCAGCTTTCAGCTCGCCGCCTCGCGCGACACGCCATCCGAGGCTGTCGTCGCGGCCGAGGCTGCTACCACTGCTAAGCAGGGCGACGCAATTGTCGCCGTCTCTCCGTCGGCACCGCCATCGATCCGGAGCCTCTCGCCCGCTTCGTCGCCGCCTTCCGAGTCGCCAGTCGGGCCTCCGCCAGGCTCCCTACTCGCCGCCGCCTCGCGCGACACGCCATCCGAGGCTGTCGTCGCGGCCGAGGCTACAACCGCTGGCAAGACAGGCGGCACCTTCAACGCCGACGCTGCTGGCAAGGAGGCGAGCATCGCCTTGACCTTCGAGATCTTTTCGGCAAGGATGCGCCAGTATGTCTGGTCGGTGACGTTGAGCAGCTTATGAAGGAGAGCTTCGACAAGTGGCCCACTACGCTGTTGGACTACCGCCTCGGCTACCGCGCGCTCGTCGCATTGAACGAGCAGAGGGAGCTCCTCTGCTGCAAGCACCTGTCCCGACCTTGCGGCCGACGACACTTGCCTCTCGCTGCTCCTCTCGCGGCTGGACCAGCCCGAGGAAGATGGCTGGCGCAGAGACAGCATCAACGCCCTCCTCGCCCTCGCAACCTCCTCGTCTGCGTGCGCAGAGCAGTGGCACCAGGTCGGCGGCGTTGCGGCGTTGCAGGCGCGTCTCGCTCGAGAGACGGCGGAGGAGGGGGTGGAGAGGCAGGCGGAGAGGTGGCGACGAGGCGCTAGTCAGCCTCGGCGTGAGGAGGGTGCGCAGGCGGACGGCCGCGTGAGCCACTTGCGTGAGCTGTCACAGAAAGAAAGAAAGAATTTTACAAAGAAAGAAAACGGACAACCCAACCGAGTACCCTCGCCTTTTGCCAATCTTTTTTTGTCCCGCGAAAATGCTAGTGTGTCCCAGGTTTGGAGTTGGCGGGCGCCGACCACCTACTCGTTCAAAAAAGAATTTTACGCAAGCCGCTCGCAAAAAAGAATTCTCCGCGGGGCGCGAAATGCTCGCCTCCGCCCGCTACGAGCTGCGGCTCGCCGCTCTTCCGCCCGATGCCCTGATCGCGATCACCGCCGGCGCCATGCGGGACAGCGCCGCTGCAAACAGGAGGGCCGAGGCGCTCCTCGCGCACCACAGCCCTCCGCCCGCCGTCGCGACCGACGTCCTCGCGGACCCGGACCTTGCGCCGTGCGTGCTCGAGAAGACGGGGCTGCGCCACGCGGCCGTGTGCAAGCGCTGGTCCTTGATCTGCGCGCCGCGCGGTGCCGTCGCGCGGCTCGTGGAGACCGCTGGCGATGCCTCCTCGGAGCTGCAAGCTGCTGCGCTCGGAGAGCTCAAGCGGCTGTCGGGAGAGGAGGCTAGCAGCAGGCGGATGGACGCGCTCGTCGCTCTCTTGCTGGTCGGAGGCGAGGACGAGAAGGTGGACGTCGCGGCAACGATCCAGGAGCTTGCCCGGGACGACGATGCGAGCCGGGTGGCGATCGCTGCTGCCGGCGGGGTCGAGGCCCTCGTCGCATTGGCACGCGACGGGAATCAGGCGCAGAAGGAGCGTGCGGCGGGGGCGCTGTGGAACCTCGCTCTGAACGACGACAACGAGGCGGCGATTGTTGCGGCCGGCGGGATCGAGGTCCTCGTGTCGCTGGCTCGCGACGGGAATGAGAGGCAGAAGGAGTTTGCTGCAGGAGCGTTGTGCAACCTTGCTATCAACGACGACAACGAGGCGGCGATTGTTGCGGCTGGCGGCATCGAGATTTTCATGTCGCTGGCTCGCGACGGGAATGAGGCGCAGAAGGAGCGTGCGGCGGGGGCGCTGTGGAACCTCTCTTACAACGACGACAACAGAGTGGCGATCGCTGCGGCCGGTGGCGTGGAGGTCCTCGTGTCACTGGCTCGCGACGGGAATGAGATGCAGAAGGAAGAAGCGGCGGGGGCGCTGTGGAACCTCGTTATCAACGACGACAACAAGAGGGCGATTGTTGCGGCCGGCGGCATCGAGGTCCTAATCGCGCTGGCTCGCGATGGGAATGAGAGGCAGAAGGAGCGTGCCGCGGGGGCGCTGAGGAGCCTCGCTATGAGAAACGACAACAGAGTGGCGATTGCGGCGGCCGGCGGGGTCGAGGTCCTCGTGTCGCTGGCTCGCGATGGGAACGAGGGGCAGAAGGTGCGTGCGGCGGGGGCGCTGTGGAACCTCTCTGCCAACGACGACAACAGAGTGGCGATCGCTGCGGCCGGCGGCATTGATGTCCTCGTGTCGCTGGCTGGCGATGGGAATGAGATGCAGAAGGAGCGTGCCGCGGGGGCGCTGGCGAACCTCGCTATCAACGACGACAACAAGGCGGCGATTGCCGCGGCCGGCGGTATCGAGGTCCTCGTGTCGCTGGCTTGCGACGGGAATGGGGCGCAGAAGGAGTTTGCGGCGGGGGCGCTGAAGAACCTCTCTGCCAACGACGACAACAGAGTGGCGATCGCTGCTGCCGGCGGTATCGAGGTCCTCGTGTCGCTGGCTTGCGACGGGAATGGGGCGCAGAAGGAGTTTGCGGCGGGGGCGCTGAAGAACCTCTCTGCCAACGACGACAACAGAGTGGCGATCGCTGCTGCCGGCGGCATCGAAGTCCTCGTGTCGCTGGCTCGCGATGGGAATGAGGAGCAGAAGGAGCGTGCGGCGGGGGCGCTGTGCAACCTCGCTCTGAACGACGACAACGAGGCGGCGATTGTTGCGGCCGGCGGCATCGAAGTCCTCGTGTCGCTGGCTCGCGATGGGAACGAGGGGCAGAAGGAGAATGCCGCGGTGGCGCTCGGCAACATGATTGGGGCAGCAACTGGCACGCACGAGGGCGTCGTGGAGGCTGGCGGTGTGGCGGTACTCTCCTCTCTCACGCAGGAGGCAAGCGCCTCGGGCGACTGCAAGCTCGCTGCTGCCATTGCCCTTGTGTACCTAGCCAGCACCTGTCCCGACCTCACGGCTGACGACACTTGCCTCTCGCTGCTCCTTTCGCGGCTGGACCAGCCCGAGGAAGATGGCTGGCGCAGAGACAGCATCAACGCCCTCCTCGCCCTCGCAACCTCCTCGTCTGCGTGCGCTGAGCAGTGGCACCAGGTCGGCGGCGTTGCGGCGTTGCAGGCGCTCGCTCGAGAGACGGCGGAGGAGGGGGTGGAGAGGCAGGCAGAGAGGTGCGACGAGGCGCTAGTCAGCCTCGGCGTGAGGAGGGTGCGCAGGCGGACGGCCGCGTGAGCCCCAATGGAGCCGCGTGAGCTGTCATTTGAGAGATCGAGTCTTTCGTTGTTTTGACATTCCCTTCTCCGCCGCGGCGAATATTCTTTTTTTGCTCTCACAACCGCTCGCATGCTCACGCCACCGCCAGCTCGGAAAAGCTCGAGACAGCTGAAAGCTCGAGACTCCTTAGGTCCGCAAATTGTGGGGGTCACGGGCTATGGACGACCCATATTGCATATATCTTTTTACAATCGTCGACAAGGCGAGCTCGCGATGGACGCAGTCAACCTCTCATTCACCTTAGTTCGTTAGTTAGGAAGGTGAAGAACAGCCACCTCACATCACATCAAACAAAAAAGAAGACAACCATCCGTTGCTCTCGAGCGAGCTGCGCAAGGTGCTGTGCGACGGAGGTTCCGCTCCCCGGGGGCGGCAGCGCCAGCAGAGTATGGCCGAGTCGCGCCGCCGGCCGATGGCGGCACCGCCGCCAGCCACAGCGGAGAGGTGAGGCGCCGCACGACGAATTGCGGCCGTTGCCTGGGCCCTGGCCCGGCTGCGCTCGCACACACCGCCGCACGCCTCGCCGCACGCGCCGCTGTCAGCTGCGAGCGAGCATACCGGCCAACAATGGCCTGCGCAGCGGGCGCCGGCCGCAGACTCTAGGAAGGAGGCCTTCCTGGAGTGGGCGGAGGCGCGCTGCCCGATCCTTAGTCCGACTGGCGGGAGGGCGGACCCGACGGACCGGTACCCACCAGCCTGCTCGCTGCTGCCCTCCTCCCACCTGGCACCTGCCCTCCTTCCTGCCGCTGCCGCCGCCACTACCGCCGACGCCGCCGCCTCGGCCGCCGCTGGCCACGCCTCCCGCGGCCTGTGCGGCGCAGCTGCGTGCCGTCTCTACCGCTGGGCACCCGAGAGCAATGAAGCGCACGGGTCATCTTTTCTTTTTTCCAGTTTTTCCAGTCACACCACGGCCGGGTGTGAGAGCTCTCGCCGGCCCCCGGGGCCGGAGCACGGAGCACATGGCCAGCCGCCGCCGCTGGCCCGACGAGGAGGAGGCCACGCGCCTCGCTTCGCTGCTCGAGTGGCTGCAGTCCGCCGACCTCTACGTCGAGGCGGTGGCAGACACCGTCGCCGGCCCTCGCGGCTGGTGGGCCGCGGTGGCTGCGCTCGAGGCGTGGAAGGCGGCTTGCCGCCTGCGGCTGCTCGCGCTGCAGAACCACGGCTCGCTGATGCGGTCCATTGCCGACGAGCCGCCCGCCGCGGCTCCGTCGCGCCCACGGCCGCCGCCCTTCCAGTCGCCGTCGCAGCGGCCGGGGTGCCGCGCTGCCGTCCCGCCGCCGCCCGACGGCGGCTGCACGAGAGCCCGCCGTGCGAGGTGGTCACCGAGCGCCTCTCCCGCCCCGCCGCCCGCCCCGCCGCCCGCCCCGCCGCCCACCCCGCCGCCTGCAAGCCTCATCGACCAGCTCGCGGACGCGCTCGAGCTGCGGCTGGGCAGCGCCGCGCCGTCCGGGCTCGTGGGTGTGCTCATGGCGACGGGCGAGGCGGTGCACATCCTGCAGCCGCTCCTCCACCTCTCCCTCCGCCTCTCCGGGCTCGGCACGCGCGGCCGAAGGCGAGGGCCCGTGCGGAGGAGGAGGAGGCGAACGCCTTTGCGGGCCAGCAGTCCGCGACGTGTCCGGTGCCCTCCATGTAGGCGCGGCGAGTGGACGGTGTGGCTCGCCGCCCTCGCCGTCGAGGGGTCGGCGTACCTCCTCTGCCGCCGCGCGGCGACGCTCGCGCGACGGGCGAGCCGCGGGGCGGGCGGCGCCTCGGCCGCTGGCTGCTCCGCTGCGGCCGGCAGCGCGTCGCCCGACAACGAGGAGGAGCTGCGCCACCGAAGGAGGCTGCTGCTGCAGCTGCTACTCCGGCCGCTCCTCCTCGGTGGGGTGCGCTCCCTCCTCCTCCGCCGGTACGCGAGGCGGCGGCGGCGCAACGACGACGACACGGCAGAGGAGGGGGAGGAGGCGCCGTCCGCACTCGGCCGGCTGCTGGAGACGCTGGAGGGGATCGACGCCGTGCTGCCGCGCTTCTCCGCGGGTGGCTTTGGTTAGAGGTTGCTGTTATGCAGAAAGTGCATGCATGTATGAAAGTGAAGAACAGTCAGGCTCGGGCTGACACCGGAGAAAGTTTGTTACACTTGAGTAAACAAAAAACATGGAAAAAAAACAAGAAAATCGGATAAATCGCCGTCCGATGCCCTGCCTGCCGTCCTGTTGCCGCCGCGCCGCCTTACCACCGACCCTTACCGTGCCGCGCCGCCTTTACACACACACCTTACCTCCTGCTCGACCCAGTTTGCGCTGAGAAGTGACCCGAGCCGCCGGGTGCCCCGCAGGCGCAGCGGCCTCGCTGGACCAAGAAGAACCGGTCCGCGAGTGCTCCGCAGCAGCCTCGCTGAGCCAGAACGTCGGCTCGCGAGGTGGGGTGCTAGTATGAGACCGACCCAGGTCGTAGTTCTCTTGCTCCAAGTGCTTGCGCTTCGGCGGTTAGTGGTGCACTAACCTCCGAGAAACCCTTCGGGTCGCTCCTCATCGCAAACCCTGTCAGCAGAGTCCTCCTACGGGAATGTACGTAAGAGCTACATACACTGAAAAGACGCTCCAGAAAACACCGCTCTCACAAGCACCTTCCCCCCACCCCTCCAGGCGTGAAAGGACGCTGCCTCCGCGGTGGGAAGGAGTCCCATCCGCCAGGGAGTCCCTGTGCTTGCCCGCAGCCGCACCGCCGTCTCGCCGCGGAAGTATGTGGGCGAATGTCAACGCCCAATCCGTGCACCAGCAGAACGCCGTATCGCTGATGCAGGTTGACATGCTGCAGCTCGGCGTGCTGCAGACCCAGATGGACAACCTCTCCGTGCAGGCGACGCTGCTGATTGGCTTTGCCCTCAGCATGTGGGGCGGTGCGACGCTCAAGCCGCTGCTGGAGGACGACTCCCAGATCTGCAGTGCGCCGGACCCCTCTCACACCTAAAAAAAGCGCGAAGCCACATCACAGCACGCGCGTCCCTAACTGTTTTTTTGCACCCATGCGCCTGCAGTCTGGAAGACGTGGTATCACCTCGCCTTCGCCGCCGTCTTCTTTGTCACCATCGCGCTCTGCATCTCTTGCGGCGGCATCATCGTCTCGCTCGTCCTCTACATCAAGCAAGCGGCACAGGAGTCAGCGTTGCTTGTGAGCACTGGCGCGGCGGTGGCCAACACGCGCCGCCATCTCTCCTCCCTCAACCGCCTATTCGTCGTCTCGTACGCCTCCTTTGCCCTCTCCGCGGTGCTCGCTCATAGAATGGGCAGGGGCACGTCCGGAAAGAAGCACTTGCACCGCGCTCGGGCCACCGCACACGGAAGCACAGCGAGAGACAGCGAGAGCGGCAGGCGGGCAGGCGGCGGCGGCGGGCAGGGGAGGCCGGCGAGACGACGCCTCCCCCTCCCGCCAGGTGCTGCTCATCGTGCTGTACGTCGGCATGCCGGCGAGGCTTCCCACTCCGTACCCGGCACGCTCGAGAGGGAGCACATGAACGACCACACGTGGGGACAGCGTCTCTTCACACCTCGAGCTGTGAGTAGGTGCTCGAGAGGGCGCACATGAACGACCACACATGGGGCACCGAGCCCTAGAAGCGGAACACGTATTCTTGTCTCCCAACCAGCACTCGAGAGGACGCGTACTCCGCCGCCTTCCGCCGCCTTCCACTGTACTCACTGTACTCCCATCCCTCGTCGCGGTGCTCCTGAATACGCTGCACAATACCGCCTTCCCTCCCTGAGGTTGGCGTCTTTCACAAACTAGGCTCCGAGCTCGAGTCGCTCGTCACCCGCTTCGACGGCGTCCACACCATCACCTGCCTCGACCCGCGCAGCCCCGCGTCGCACTACAACCGGTTTGCGTACGGCGCCGCCATCGCCGCGACCAACACGCTCATCATCGTGTGCATGTCGGCGTGGGGGTACCGGCTGTACGCCGTCATCCGCCGCTCCTACATGCACGACGAGCTCCTCCACTGGTTCGTGGGCCAGCAGGCCGAGCAGAAGCGCCGGGCCGAGCGCCTCTCCCGAGCGGTCCAGCTGCAGCGAGGCGTGACGTGCGACTCGACAGGCTGACGCCACCGCCTCCCACGAGTCCTCTCTCGGGGTGCGGTGTGTGTGCGCGGCGGTGTATGATGCATTGTACGAAGTACTAGGGTACACGGCTAGAACTGCGGATGTGCGCCCGTTATTTATGTGTTGCGTCCACTGGGACACCGCAGATATGAAAGTTGAAACGTACCCGATAAGGCAGCTGTTTTTATGCGTTTCGCCGTTCGTGGCATCTCAAAGGCAAGATCAAAGGGTGACCTGTCGCCCTGGTGGCGAGATCGGCGGCATGTACGACCCCACCTCGCCGTGGTCGTGCACCCCTCTCCGCGAAAAGTTGTCGATAACGACGGTGAGGCCCTCGGGTGCCAGCATGATCTCGCGCTTCAGCCGGTCCGCCACCCCCATGTTGTCCATGCAAAACCAAAAGGTGACGCACGCACAGACAATGTTGAACGAGAACTCGAGCACGTGCGCTGGCTTCTCCCCCCAAGCCGGGTGATTGTAGATGACGAGCTGCGAGGCGGCCACACACAATGAGACGACGGCCGCGCCCGCCAGCAGTCTGCCGCCCGCCCGGTCCTGCACCCGCAGGATGGCGCAGACAACCAGCGACTCTGCACCCGCCAGGAAGAGCTCGTTTGTGTACTCAATCTCGTGGGCAATCGTCTCGTAGCGGTGTAGGTTGACGATCACGAGGAGCGCAGCGACGCAGGTGCTGCCAACGCTAAAGAATACGAGCACCTTGAGCAGGATCTGCGAGGCGTACTGCCGCTCTGGCGCGCACACAACAGACAGGACCGTCACCAAAGCAAAGCTAAACGCCGAGATGAACTCGATCCTGTGGAACAAGACGGTCTCTGCGTGGTCGCGGTGCGGCGTCGCGACTGTGATCAGGCAAACAATTTGGGTGCCAAGGAATGTGGCCGAGAGCAGCGAGAGGAGGAGGTTGCTGTTGGAGATGGCACGCAGCTCCGAGAGCCTTGCGAGCACTAGCACATTTGTGTCTCGCCGCAGCGGCTGGCAGTGCTCGGACCCAGGGAGGAGACAGCAGGTTTGCCTTCGCGTTGCGTCTACCGCGTGGCCGTGTTCGTGGTCCATGAGATTCCGTCGAAGAGCTGCGGACTGGTGGGACTCTCTGGGACGGCCGCTTGCGACGCCCGACAGTTTCCTTTCGGCATCATCATCACAGCATTGTTGAGCACTTGAGCACGGGATAGGGTCGATTCCGCGTGGTACGGGACCCCTCGATCGTCTCGCCCTCCCTCACTGGAGTGTTCATTGGGGGCGGGGGGTCATAACAAACACGGTACAGGAAGGATCGAGGTGCACGCTGCCGAAGCAGTGTCGATGTGTCGTCCCCCCTCTCCCCGACGGCGATGGCGAGGGCCCCTCGGCTTGCCCTTGTCGGAGCGCGGCTTCCTCTTGCTGGTGGCCTCGAGCTGCGCCGCTTCGGCCAGGATCCCCTTCTTCAGCAGATCGCCGTGGCAGGACTCAATCCTTCCCGCGCACAGTGAGAACGAGATCCGTGCCGTCTCGGACCCTCTGTGCCAGTTCGCGAAGCGCCGCTGACCGTGTCCTCCAAAGTCGATCGGCCTTCATGCCGTCCAGGAACGCGTCGGCGGTCTCAAGGACGCGACCCTCGCTGGAGCGCACCCCCCTTGCTGGCATGGCCCGGTCGACTCCGTGCCGCGTCGCGGCGGCGCGCGCCGAGGCAGCATCACCCTGACCCTCCCCCCACATTGCATACCCGCCCGGAGTGCCTCCGTGGCGCAGGCGCACCCTCCATGGTGCCCCCTGCGATCGAAGCACGTGAGCTCCCTGGCCCTTTTCCAGTCGTGAAGGGCGGTCGCTCGGGGTGTCGCCTCTTCTTTGTTCGAATGTATTTCAATCCATCCTTCACGAAGCCTTCCCATGTAGCTAGCGTTCTTTGCGAATGTCTCGAAATCCATGGCCAGCAGGCGCTGTCTGCTCGCGGTCTGTGTGGGCCGCGCTCGTCCTCCTCGCGCCCTTCTTTCGTCCTCCGCGCAGAACGGCACCGATCTCGACGCCGATTATGCCCGGATGGGATCGCGACGCCAAAACATGGAATGAAAAGATAAATATATACGGACGTACGAACGTACGAACGTACCAGGAATCAAAACGGTGTCGCAGGAGGGCGCTCCCTTTGCACGGCGCGCTGCGCTGTCACACACTGCTGCCACTCGTGCCGAGCGGCGAGCGATCGCAGAGTGCGGAGCGCTGCCCCTCACTCATGCCCGCTCCCACCACCACCCGGACCTTCTCGAGCTCCACGTCGCGCGCCGCCACCGTCCCCTTCAGCTCCGCCACCTGGTCGAGCGCGTCGCCGAGCAGCCCCTTGGCCACGCCAAAGTCGCGCAGCTGCTCCACGCCGCCGCTCGCGCGCACCTCGGCGGCGTGGTCAGCCACGAAGCGGCGGCACTGCGCGAGGAGGCGCCCGTCGCTCATCGTGTGCGCCGCCTCGAGCAGCGGCACGGCGGTCGCCGGCGCGACGCTCTCCTGCAGCGCCTGCGCGCAGAGCAGCTCGAGGCGCGGCACCTGGTACATCTGCGCCAGCTCCCGCAGGTCGAGCGCGCGCTGCGCCCTGCCGCCCTCCTCCTCGCCGAGGTCGAGCTGGTCGGTGAGGAGGTAGCGGACAAGGGCAGTGAAGCTGGCGAGGTCGGTGTGGGACACCGTGACCTCGGCGGCGTCGCGCTCCTTCATGCCGATGCCAAACATGGTCCGAAAGACAACGGACCGGGCGCAGAGGTTGGCCTTGGTGACGTACTCGATGCGCTCCCGACTGTCGCCGACCAGGAAGGTGACTTTACCCTCTGGGAGGGTGGCGTCGCCCCACGTCTTCGCCATGTCGGCGGAGAAGGTGGAGGGCGGAACGACGATCGGGGCAAAGGAGGGAGGCGGAGGAGGCGCCGCCACGCAGACCTGGCGGAGGCCTTCTCCCGAACTGACCAGCAGCGTGCTGCCGTCTGGGCTGATGGCGACATCGAATGGTCCGGTGAGCTCCGCCGCATCGCCAACCCCATCGGCGCTGCCCTCGGTGCTACTGCCCGCGACCGTCGTCACCTCGCCCGTCGCCACCTCCACCCGCCGGATCTTGTGGTTCTCACAGTCCGCCACAAACAGCGCGCCGCGGTCTGGGCTGATGGCGATGCCACTTGGATAGAAGAATTGCGCCGCGTCGCCCACGCCATCGGCGCTGCCCCTGGTGCCACTGCCTGCGATCGTCGTCACCTCTCCCGTCGCCACCTCCACCCGCCGGATCTTGTGGTTCTCTTGGTCCGCCACAAACAGCGCGCTGCCGCCTGGGCTGATGGCAAGGCCGCGTGGGCCGCAGAAATTTGCCGCGTCGCCCACGCCGTCCGCGTCGCCGCGCGCGCCGCTGCCCGCGACCGTCGTCACCTCGCCCGTCGCCACCTCCACCCGCCGGATCTTGCCGCCACCATGGTCCGCCACAAACAGCGCGCCGTCTGGGCTGATGGCCATGCCAAATGGGCAGCAGAACTGCGCCGCGTCGCCCACGCCATCCGCGTCGCCCGCCTCGCCGCTCCCAGCGAGGGTGGTCACCTCGCCAGTCGCCACCTCCACCCGCCGGATCTCGTCCTTCATGAAGTCCGTCACAAACGCAGCGCTCCCGTCCGGGCTGGCGGCAACGGTGTAGTCGTCGTCACTTGCCGGCAAGGCTGCCACGCGGCGCACGCGCCCGGCCGCCGAGACGTGCAGCAGCGAGTCCTCGGTCGCGATATACCAGGCGCCCGCGTGGTCGCTCGCGACGCCAACCGGACCGGTCTCCAGAGGGCCGTCCTCGCCCTCGAGCGGCAGCGTGGTGACCTGGCCGACGACGCGCGCGCCAAAGATGGGTACCTCGAAGCCATCCGCGACCGGCACGGGCTCCTCGTCCCCGTCCTCGTCCCCGTCCCCGTCCGGGGGCGCTTCGCCACACAGTACATGGATTCGGGACAAGGGCTTGGTAGGGTATCGAAGCAAATGAGGAGGGGCTCTCGCTGCCGCGGCGCCCCTGTCGGTGCGAAGGCGCCCGGCGGCCGCGCGCTTGGTGCCCACGCCGACCGGCTGCTCTCGCGGCGCCGGTCACGTCTCGCGCGCTCTGCGAAGTGTCTTTTGGCATGTGAGCGCTTTGTGGAGACGCCAGGAAGCTTGTCTTCCATGTCTGCGGCCGCGGGTGTGTGGGCGGGCCCGACGGGCTGGGCGAAGCTCCGTGCCTCTAAACAACAAACATACCTAAAATCGTCGTGCCGCCGCTCCTTACCGTGCCGCTCCTTCTCACAGGGACCGCGAGGCGTCGACTCGAAATCTACTCGAGGAGGCACGTGAAGTTGGCCTGGCGCGAGCCATTGTCGCCGTTGACAATGTAGTCGCCTGTTCGCAGGCAGGGCCGCGCGTGAGGACGGACACTCTCTAAGAGCGAGGTCAAGAGCCGAAGCGCGCCGAGGTAGCCGAAAAGGGCAACTTCCTCCTTTGTCCATCCAGCGAGCGCGTTGAGTCCAGGCACACCAACGTTGCCGAGGACGTCGTTGACCCAGCCGCCCACCCCCTTAGGGATCGCCCCGTAGTACGGGAAGTTGCCGAGGCAGCCAAACGGGTCTTTGCCACTGTAGTGATCGTGGTAGCTTGCCATCTTGCAGTTGGCGATGGCCAGCTTGGGCGGGCAGGCCTTCGGGTGTTTGAGGAGCGACTTGCGCACATCGATCGCCTTGCAGGAGGGAGGGGGGCGGGGGGAGGGGCGGTTGAAGTAGGGGTGAAGTAGGGGTGTAGGAGTCGAAGTGCGTGTGAGGGCGCGCCCAAGTGATCGGCAGCGTGATCCAGACCACGGTGAGGGTCACATCGTCCTGCGCCGTCGTCGTGCCCCAGAAGGGGTTGTTGAGCACCTTGAGGCCCTTGAGCGTGCACACGAGCGGCCGGCCGGCGCGCTGGCACCTAGTAAACACGGAGAGCTGGCTGGCAGAGCTGGTGTGCCTGGGGGAAGGGGGGGGGGGGCAAGAGGTGCGCTCCAAGTCATGTAGTCGCAGAGGTACTGCCACGGCGAGCATGTCCCCCCATCGCCTTGTCCCGGCGGCGGCCAACTGACCTCCTTGCACTGCGTGTAGTCGCAGGGCACCTTGTCACCCCCCGGCCAGTCCTTGTCCTTGGTCAGGTCCGGGTACGAGCACTCGCCCTGGTAGTGCTCCGGGTTGTTGTCCAGGATGTGGTTGAGGACGTACAGGGGACGGACAGCCTTGCCCTTCCGGAGTGCATTAGGCTGAAAGGGTGTCGGCTGCACGCCGAAGCAAGACGCGAGCGAGGAACCCATGTAGGCCGACCCTGGCTCGGGCTTGTCTGCGTACGGGTCGAAGGTCCACGTCCACGGGGCCCCGGACGCACGCTGTCCGCGCAGCTGCTCGCAGCAGCTGGCATCCTCCTTCTTCCACGGGCCATGCCCGTAGTTGTTGATCATCACAGCTGCCTAGACAGTCAGGGGAAGGAAGCAGGGGAGTGAGAAGCAGCATGTGCGAGCGAGAGACAGCCGGGAGGGCACTGGCCGCCTTTGAGACGCCCTGCGCGATGGTGCCGGCCAGACCGGTCGACTCGAGCACGCCGCCGTCAGAGAAGAAGCAGCGCGTCGGCTCGCTGAGTGGGCCGACGAAGTCGGTCGGCATGGGCTTGAACTCGTAGGTAATGTCGGCCGCAGGGTACAGCGGGGAGATGCAGGTAAAAAGCGAGCCGATGAGGCCAGATGGGGCGTCCTCGGGCTGGAATTGCGTGACGAAATCTGCCGTCAGGGACATGACCGCCTCTGGGGACAGGTGCTCCGAGGAGGTGATGGGCGCGCACGGAATGCAGCTCGGCTTATCCACCCAAGTCGACGAGGGCTGCGAGTTGGAGAGGAACTGCACGTTCGGCGGGTCGACGCAGCAGGTGCCGAGGTTGCGGTCGAAGGTCATCGGACCGTTGTCCTTGCTCGGGTCGCTCACATTCTTCGGGTCGTACTGCGTGATGGCCATCCCGGGCGTAAAGGTGTACGGCACGACGCTCACGTTGTGGTAGTTGGGCTGCAGCTGCAGCGCCTTGTAGATGCCGATGCCCATGCCCTTCCTCTCCGCATTCTTCTTCGCCTCCTCCACTGTCTCCTCCTCGTCGTTCTTGGGGTGGTAGACAAAGGTAGAAACCTCGCGGGCCCAGCAGGCGAGCGGGCCAAGGAAGTTGCGGTAGCCCACGCCTGTAACCTGACGGCAGCAGCGGCGGGCTCCAGTAGGGTGAGCGGTCGGGTAAGAGGCGGGATAGTAGCAGGGAGGGGCTGTGGTGGGCGGGCAGCTCACCTGGATCATTTGCGTGTGCGCCATCGGGGTCGGCGCGCCGGGGCGCGGGTAGGCGACCTCGCACTCATCGACGTCGGCGAGGCAGGCCACGTCGGAGACCTGGTCGGGGCCCGAGGCCGTGTACTTGTTTTGCGAGATGCCGAGGGGGGAGAGAAAGAAGTTGAAAAAGAACATTCGGGCATAGGAGGCGAAGCCGATGGAGAAGCTGGGCAGGCACAGCCACCCGTAGTTTGGCCAGCAGCCGCGGCCGACGCACTTGCCAAAGGAGAGGATGCGGGCGACGAAGCCAAAGGGGAGCGACATGATGGCGCCGGATATAACGCCGGGGTTGAGTCCTCCTTGCCGACGGACCATCCAATTGTAGTAGCCAGTCTCCGGCTTGTCGCCGCAGGCCTTTGAGTTGTCCGTGAGGAGGTCGTCCCACGTAATCGAGTTCGGGTCCGAGTTCGCGCTGGTGTTGAGGAAGTTGACCGGGTCAAGCTTGGGGCAGGGCTTGTCAAAGTTGTTGAAGCCAGTCGGCTCAGGGTTGGCGTAGCAGTACGTCTGGCTGGCAAGGTATCCGCCAGAGACGCCTGGCAGAGGGTGGGAGGGTGAGTTGTGCGGGGCAGTCAGGCCGAGGCGGGGCAGGAGCGAGGCACCCGCCATCACGTCGAACTCGTCAAGGGCCGGTTTGTCACCGTTCGGGCCGACGCAAACCTTGTGCAGGCCGCGAAAGATGCCGTACGCGCTTGCGACGGGCAGGAGGCCGCCGCCGTTGAGCACGAGCGCGGTCTTGAATGGTCGCTGCGGCGCTGCGGCCGCTGCGGCGCGAGCGGTCGTTTTCTTGCCCTCGCGCTCCTTGGCGCGGAGCCCTTTCACGTAGGACGCCTTGGGCGCTGGGATGGTGGGTCGCGCGACGAAGCTCATCGAGGGAGTAGAGGAAAGGCCGCGGAAGTAGAGGAAAGGCCGCGGAAGTAGTGGAGGAAGTGACAGCGGCCCGCGCGTGTTGGTCCCTGAAATGATGAAGGACGCCGCATTTCACCGGTTTTCTTTTATTTATTTTCACAGCTTGAGAAAATACCTCCTATGGCGCTGTGCGCTGGCCTGTGAGAGGTTGAGGTGCGAGCCCTGGAGGCCCTGGGGATGGGGGGGACTACCCGCGGGCTTAGAAGGCCCGCGCGCAGGGGGGTGGGGCATTGATTCACACAAGGCTGTTGTTCATCTTTCTACATACATACATACAAGGCGGACGCATCACACCCGCCGCCCCCGCGCGCGCCCCGCCCCGGCCGGGAGAAAAGAAAGGCGTTTCGGTTTCTTTTTGTGCCTTCCGACTCGTCGAAGGGCGTGCCGTCCTTGTTGGCGTAGCAGTACGTCTGGCTGGCAAGGTATCCGCCAGAGACGCCTGCCATGACGTCGAACTGGTCGAGGGCACAGGGCACGTCGCCAACGTTGGCCTTGTACAGGCCGCGAAAGATGCCGTACGCGCTTGCGACGGGCAGGAGGCCGCCGCCGTTGAGCACGAGCGCGGTCTTGAATGATTGCTTCGGCGCTGCGGCCGCTGCGGCGCGAGCGGTCGTTTTCTTGCCCTCGCGCTCCTTGGCGCGGAGCCCTTCCACGTAGGACGCCTTGGGCGCTGGGATGGTTGGGCGCGCGACGAAGCTCATCGAGGAAGTAGGATTTCTAGAGCTCGCGGGCCGTGGGTGCGAGCGGCCGGCCGCGCGGCTCTTCTCCAACCCTGCGGGCGACTACGGGTCGATGGTCAACGAGCGAGTGGGCTCGGGCGAGTGGGAGGAGGCGGACGAGCTGGGCGAGACGTGGGCGAGCCGCAACGCCTTCTCGTACGGCCGCGGCGCCGAGAAGGGACAGGCGCGCGCCGACGTGCTCGAGACGCTGCTCGCGTCGACCGAGCGCGTCGTGCAGATGATCGACAGCGTCGAGTATGGGCTGACGGACATCCAGGTGCCCTCTCTCTCTCTCCCTCTCTCTCTCTCTCTCCCTCTCTCCCTCTCCCGGCGCTCACTCGGAGATCTCTGTCGGGGATCACTTTTTGCCACGGACGATCACTGGCGACACCTCCCCTTCCCTGGAGTGCCTCCGGATGGGGCCGAGCAGCCCGAGGCCGGTCCTCGCTAGGGCGGTCCGAGCCGAATCGGGCGCGAGCGCCTCTTACGCCTGCTGGGGAAGCCGCCGAGAT